CTGGGCTGGTCTCGAACTCCTGACCTCAAGTGATCTGCCCGCCTCTGCCTCTCAAAGTGCTGGGATTACAGGTGTGAGCCACTGCGCCCGGCCAGCAGCCACATCTCAAAGACAAGGCACCAGCAGACATAGCCAAGACCCCAGCCCACCCTAATGTCCCCAGGAACCCCCAAGCTGGGCTGGGACGCACCCACTCCAGCAGGAAACGAACGGTCTCAATCTCTCCAAAGGCTGAGGCCCAGATGAGGGGGGTGAAGCCGCGCTCGTCCGGCTTGTTGACGAGATTGTCACCTGGCGGGAAGGGGCAGGTGGTACCAACCAGGCTGCATCCCTGCCCCCTATCCCCAGGGCTGCCAAAGGGGACGAGGTGGGGGGCTGGGGTTAGACAGGGGAACGGCAGGGGAGCATAGGTTGATGGACATACATGGACACAGTCACACACACAGGTAGATACAGGCGCACGTGGACACTCACAGGTCATGTGAGTGTCATGGATGGGCACGGACACCCATATGCACACACCAGCCAGGCACAGACATACCAGCACACGCGTGTGACACGCACCTTTCCTCAGATGCTCCTTCAGCTGGTCCAGCTCCCCCTGCGCTGCGAGCTGGTGGATGGACAGGGCTGGGGCAGGACAGAGGCAGAGTCCTCACTCATCCCCTCGCTTCTCTGTGCCTCGGTTTACCCTCTGTCCACGATTGCTCCTCACAGGCCCTCCCACCCTCCTACTCCTCTCCTTGTTGGGGACCGTGGGCCCACTCACAGTCTAGGGTGGCCGGCAGAGCTGACACTTCGTTCCCCCGCTGCCGGTTCGTGAGAGTGGTGGAGTGCTTCAGGGAGCCGCCTGCTGGGAGAGACACGACAGGCCTCAGTTTCCCCTGGGTCAATGTCTCTGGCGCTTCAGGACAGAAGCCCATCCATTTTTTTGTTGTTGTTTTGAGACAGAGTCTTGCTCTGTCACCCAGGCTGGAGTGCAGTGGTGCGATCTCAGCTCACTGCAACCTCTGCCTTGTGGGTTCAAGTGATTCTCCTCCCTCAGCCTCCCGAGTAGCTGGAATTACAGGTGCCCGCCACCACGCCCGGATAATTTTTGTATTTTTAGTAGAGATGAGTATCACCATGTTGGTCAGGCTGGTCTCAAACTCCTGACCTCGTGATCCGCCCGCCTCGGCCTCCCAAAGCGCTGGTGGGATTACAGGTGTGAGCCACCATGCCCGACCTTTTTTTTTTTGAGATGAAGTTTTGCTCTGTCACCCAGGCTGAAGTGCAATGGCACGATCTCGGCTCACTGCAACTTCCATTTCCTAGGTTCAAGAGACTCTTGTGCCTCAGCCTCCCAAAGTGCTGGGATTACAGGTGTGAGCCATCATGCCACTGCCTTTGGTATCTCCCTTGGGTCTTTGAGCTATAAAAGGCAGAGCCTGGGGCTCCACCATTCACTCACTCTACTCTCTTGAATACCCAGCGTGCATCTCTTTCCTCCCTGCCTAGCAGTGTTCTGGGCAAACAAGACATAGTTTTTGCCCTCTAGGGAGTCCAGGGTCAAGTAGGTGCATCAGGCAGAGAAATAATAAGAAACTTCAAGTGGAAATAAGTTCAAAAGAACTTAAGGCCGGGCACAGTGGCTCACACCTGTAATCCCAGTATTTTGGGAGGCCAAGGTAGGTGAATCGCTTGAGGTCAGGAGTTTGAGACCAGCCTGACCAACATGGCTAAACACCATTTCTACAAAAAGCACAAAATTAGCTGGGAGTGGTTGCAGACGCCTGTAAGCCCAGCTACTGGGGAGGTTGAGGCAGAAGAATCGCTTGAACCTGGCAGGCGGAGGTTGCAGTGAGCCAAGATTGTGCCATTGCACTCCAGCCTAGGCGACAAGAGCAAAGCTCCAGCACACACACACACAAAAAGTATTTAAAAGCAGGTCGCAGAGGACAGAAAGAAGGGAGCACCAGGACTGAGTCATTCTTAGACGAGGCGGTAACAGGAGGGCCTCCCCAAGGTGACACCACCAAGATCTTAAGAAGTCAAAGACATCAGTTACAGGAACTGGGCACGGTGGCTCACGCCTGTAATCCCAGCACTTTGGGAGGCCGAGGCAGGTGGATCACGAGGTCAGGAGATTGAGACCATCCTGGCCAACATGGTGAAACCCCGACTCTAAAAAAAATAAAAAAACAAAAATTAGCTGGTGTGGTAGCACACACCTGTAATCCCAGCTACTCGGGAGGCTGAGGGAGAACTGCCTTAACCCAGGAGACAGAGGTTGCGGTGAGTCAAGATAGTGTCACTGCACTGCGGCCTGGGCAACAGAGCAACACTCTGTCTACTCCGTCTCAAGAAGAAAGAGGACTCCGTCTCAAGAAAGGAGGGAAGGGGAGCGGAGAAATCACCTATAGGAAGAAGTATAGGAAGAGCATTCCAGACAGAAGGAGTGGCAGCAACAAAGGTCCTGGGAGGGAACTGAATTAGGCATATTCTAGGACTCCGATCAAAAATAAATCCTCAGGGCCAGGCATGGTGGCTCAAGCCTCTAACCCCAGCACTTTGGGAGGCCAAGGCGGGCGGATCACAAGGTCAGGAGTTCCAGACCATCCTGGCCAACATGGTGAAGCCCATCTCTACTAAAGATACAAAAATTAGTCGGGCATGGTGGTGTGCTCGCGGAATCCCAGCTACTCAGGAGGCTGAGGCTGGAGAATTGCTTGAACCCGGGAGGTGAAGGTTGCAGTGAGCCAAGATCGAGCCATTGCATTCCAGCCTGGGTGACAGTGAAATTCTGTCTCAAATAAATAAATAAAATAAAAATAAAAACAAAAATAAATTCTCAGTTCCTCAGTAAGTAAAACAGGATGACCATCTGACCCGGCAATTCCATTCCTAGCTATCTACCCTCAAAGAATTAAAAATGGGTGTGAAAGGCCGGGCGCTGTGGCTCACGTCTGTAATCCTAGCACTTTGGGAAGTGGAGGCCAGCAGATCACTTGAGCCCAGGAGTTCCAGACCAGCCTGGGCAACATGGCAAAACCCTGTCTCTACAAAAAATACAAAAATTAGCTGGGCATGGTAGTGCATGCCGGTCATCCCAGCTACTTGGGAGGCAGAGGCATGAGAATCGGTTGAACCTGGGAGGCGGAGGTTACCGTGAGCCGAGATTGCGCCATTGCACTCCAGCCTGGGCAACAGAGTGAGACTCCGTCTCAAAGAAAAAAAAAAAAAAGAAAGGAAGCACTGATCCATGCTATGACGTGGATGAACCCTGAAAACATGATGCTGAGTGAGAGGGGCCAGACACAAAAGGCCACCGCATAGTGTATGATCCCGTTGGTATGAAATGCCCAGAACAGGAAAATCTAAATAGATAGAAGCAGATTGGTTGCCAGGGATGGATGGAAGGACAATGGAGAGGGACTGCTATGGTATGGGGTTTCCTTTTGGAATGATGAAAATATTCTAGATAGGCTGGGTGCAGTGGCTCATGCCTGTAATCCTAGCACATTGGGAGGCCAAGGTGGGTGGATCATGAGGTCAGGAGTTCAAGAGCAGTCTGGCCAACATGGTGAAACCCCAGCTCTACTAAAAATACAAAAAATCAGCCAGTCGTGGTGGCTCATTCCTGTAATCCCAGCTACTTGGGAGGCTGAAGCAGGAGAATTGCTTGAACTGGGACCCAGGAGGCGGAGGTTGCGGTGAGCCCAGATTGCGCCACTGCACTCCAGCCTGGGCTACAGAGCGAGACTCCGAGACTCCGTCTCCAAAGGTGATGGTTATGCAACACTGTGAATGTACTTACTGATACTGAATGGTACAGCAATCCTGGTTTAAGTGGCAAACTTTTATGTTATGTATAGTTTACCACAATAAAAAAATACATACAAAGTTGCAAAAAAAAAAAAAAAGAAACAAACCCTTACTGAATGGAGAGGGAAGACATGTCCTATTAGTGGATCATAAAGACAGAGACCCTTGCCTGGAGTGGTGGCTCATGCCTGTAATTTCCGCACTTTAGGAGGCTGAGGCAGGAGGATTGCTTGAGGCCAGGAGTTCAAGACCAGCCTGGGCAACATAGTGAGACTCTGCCTCTTAATTAAAAAAAAAAAAAAATTAGCCAGGTGTGGTTGCATGCCTACAGTCCCAGCTACTATGGAGGCTGAGTGAGGTTGGAGGATGGCTTGGGCCTAGGAAGTTGAGGCTGCAGTGAACTATGATCACACCACTGCACTCCAGCCTTGGTAACAGAGCAAGACCCTGTTTCAAAAAACAAAACGGAGCTGGGCGCGGTGGCTCAAGCCTGTAATCCCAGCACTTTGGGAGGCCGAGGCGGGTGGATCACGAGGTCAAGAGATCGAGACCATCCTGGTCAACATGGTGAAACCCCGTCTCTACTAAAAATACAAAAATTAGCTGGGCATGGTGGCGCGTGCCTGTAATCCCAGCTACTCAGGAGGCTGAGGCAGGAGAATTGCCTGAACCCAGGAGGCGGAGGTTGCGGTTAGCCGAGATCGCGCCATTGCACTCCAGCCTGGGTAACAAGAGCGAAACTCCATCTCGGGGAAAAAAAAAAAGAAAAAACAAAACGGGCCGGGTGCGGTGGCTCATGCCTGTAATCCCAGCACTTTTAGGGGGCCAAGGCAGGCAGATCACCTGAGATCAGGAGTTCGAGATCAGCCTGGCCAACATGGTGAAACCCTATCTCTACTAAAAATACCAAAAAAATTAGCCAGGCGTAGTGGCAGGCACCTGTAATCCCAATTACTCAGGAGACTGAGACAGAAGAATCGCTTGAACCTGGGAGGCAGAGGTTGCAGTGAGCTGAGATCATGCCATTGCACTCCAGCCTGGGCAACAGAAGTGAAACTCTGTCTTTTTGTGGGCCTAACATGGAATCCCAGAGGGCCAATCCCAGAGGAAGTATCCTACCCTGCGGAGAAGAAACGCTGGCATCTGGTTCAGGATTCACAGGCTCGGGGGTGCAGGGGAAGAGACTGAGCACCACAGTGTCTGAGCCATCTGCGGCCTCCTCTCCGGGGTCTTCAGGGTCCCCAAGTTCCGAGGCAGGGGGCTGCTGGGTCAGGATGAGGTCCTCTGCAGGCTGGGTGGGCTCCATGGGGAAAGCTGGCGGAGGTGCCATTAGGAGAGAGATGGTGATAATTATCAACAGCTATAATAAAGTAGGCACCGACTGCACACCCAGCCTTGCACTGTGAGGGTGGGTAAACTGAGGTCAAGGTTAATTACCAGAGCCAGGGAAACGAAAACCAGAGTCCAACCGCTTTCGAGGTCTACCCTTTCCCACCACCAAAGAACCTGCAATGTGCAATGTTTAAAAGCCCGGGCTCTGGGGTCAGCTGTCTGGGTTCGAATCCCTCAATTTATTGGCCGTGAGAACTTGGGCATGTGACTTAACCTTTGAGCCTCAGTTTCCTCCTCGACAAAATGTGGAAATGAGGCCTACAACGAATCATGTCTGTACATAGCTTATCAGAGTGGTCTGCTAAGGGCAGAGCTCAGTAAACATTCGCTATGGTTACTGGGGAGGGTCCCCATAATGAGTGAGGGCTCAACAACGATGCGATTCGTCCCAGTCGCACCTGAACCTCCCAAATCGATCCTGGAGATCCACTCACCTCCCCACGAGCCTCTTGTGTCCCCCCGCGCCGAACGCCCAGTTCTCTCAAAACTTGGGGACCCAAGTCACAAACTTTTCTCTTCTTATGGATATAGTGGGAGGCAGGCTGGAGACTGGACCCTCAGCACTCGGGTTTCCTGGGCCGGGACAGAAAGCAACTTGATACTCGACCGCTACCCCCACCCCAGAACTCCCTCACTGCGCGTGCGCACCCCCGCCCCCCAAAAGTGAGGAACGGCCCGAGCAGTAAAATGCTGCCTCTGGCCCTTTAAGACTTAGGGGAGGGAGTGGCTTCCGCTGGGGCCCTGGGAGGGTATTTGCGCCTGCGTGTTCTCTCCACCCCCACGGAGGGAATGGGCGGGGACTAAAGGGCTCTGGGAATTTCAGTGCGCTGGTGCCAGCTCGCCTTCACCCCGCCCACAAATTTTTCCAGAGGGAGCCGAGGGGCTCCGGCTTCGGGCAGATGGGCGGGGCTTTTTCCAGAAGACGAAGTAGGGGAAGTACGCGGGGCGCCCGGAACTTAAAGGGGCAAGGTATCTTCGCTGTCCCGTTCCACACCAGGGTCCCTTCTGTTGGGACAACTAAATTCCTCTTAAAGACTCAACTTTCTGGTCCTAAATTGTAAATCAGTCCTACCCCCGCCTCGTCTGTTTTTCGCAAATCGCGGGTTTACCCTGTTTGGAAAAGTCTAGGCCTTGGCCAATCGGGGTCAGCTTAGATTGTGTGGTCCAACCGCAGCCAATAGGGGAAGGACACAGAAACAGGAACTGCGTGCGGATCGAAAACGCCTTTTCGGCTTTGTTCCGCGTGCGCCTGCGACGGTCGGAGGCCGGCGGCACCCTTCCGCACAAGTCACGGTACCTTGCTGAGAATTTTTCTAAGTGCGGGTTTCTTTTGGTTACCCCGAGCGCTCGTTTCCGACACATTTGGGGGTTCGTCCGGGATCCCATTCTCCCTCGGGAGGGGCTAGCGATGATCTGTCCTGGGGAGACGTGTCCCACTGCCTCCTTGTGGTGGCCCCAGGAGGGGAGGACAGAGTCCCGCCCGAAGTGATGATAAATCCGGACTCTCAGCAACGTGGGCAGTAGGGAGGATCTTGAAGAATTCCACCGCGACCAGGTAACTGTGCACAGACCAAGGTAAGAAACGTCGCGGTTGGGGCAACAAGGTATTCCTTGGTGGTCGGGGTCTCTGGAAGTGGAAAGTGTGTGAGTGAGACGCGCGATTGGGCGGGAAGCGAGTTCGGAGTCCGGACTTTGTTCCGTGGCCGCTTCTTACGGCGGCGGGTGGAGGGGGGATTATACTGACCGGCCAATGCTGAGGGGGACCTAAAATTCCCTGGAAGGAAGCGGCCAATAAGGAAGAAGTGAGTGTTCACAAGAGTGCAAAAAACCTCCAGTGAGAAAAGGGGAGTTTAAGCCCCTAGGATACGGGAATGCAAGAAATCTAATACCAGAGATTGAACGTCACCAACCTCCAGGATGGGAAATACTCCAAATAAGACAGGGACTATAAAAAGGCCAAGCAGACAATAAAATTACCCCTGACAGTCCCCTAGGCCTTATGTTAAAATACTGGAAGGATAATTAAAGGACCAAACACTAGAAAAGACAGCAGATGATGAAGAATTGCTGTTTCATTTGGACTAAGGAACCCATCCTCAGACCTTCGGTCTTTTGGCCAAAGTTTGGGTCGGCGAGGACTGGATATGCCAACTCCTGATCCAGTATGTCAATGATAAAAGTCCAGTTTCTCAAGAGGAGATAAGTTATGCTCTATGCTGGAGGCAAGGACCTGTCCTTCTGTATCCCCTAAAAGACGAAAAAGCAGTCAAACTCAAAACCCCCAAAGACGATCTAGCTGGATCCCCTAGGATCCTCTAGGCCGCCTTCCCTCGCCTACGCCTTGTACCCCTGCGCCCCAAGCTAAACACTCAGCCCTTCCTCCACCTACCCCACTGTCCCAAGCTGAACCGTCAGTCCCTCCCCCATATAACTCTGCCCCATGGGCCTTGACACCCACACCCTCCCTGGACAGCAACCTGAATATGCCCCTTCCTCAGGAAAGCTCCAGTGGGAAATAGAACAATGCTGAAGGGATATTAAAACTTAACTTTCCCCTCTTCCTCCAAGTCTGCCCTAGCCCCTTTTCCTTTAAGGGAAGTGCCATTAGGAGGAGGAGATGTTGGCTTCATAAATGTCCCCTTAACTAGTTCAGAGGTTAGAAATCTAAAAAAGCAACTCAAACCACTGTTAGATGACCCTTTGGGAGTTGAACATCAAATTGACCAATTTCTGGGGCCACAGCTTTACACTTGGGCTGAATTAATGTCTATTCTAGGTATTCTCAGGAAAGAAAAGAAACGTGATCCACAGGGCCGCTATGATACTTGGGGAGCATGAGCACCCCCCTGGTCCAAATGACCTTGCAGCCGAGCATAAATTCCCGTCCCAGGACCCTCAATGGGATAACAACAGTGCAGCCCACCAAGAAAACATGAGAGATCTCAGAGATACGATAATTAAAGGGAATCGGGAATCAGTTCCTCCAACCCAAATGATTTCCCGAGCATTTAATGTACACCGAGAGAAAGATGAAGGGCCCATGGAATTCTTAAACAGGCGTAAGGAACAGATAAGAAAATACGGATTTTCATATAGGACATAGAGTACCCACTGGGACAAAAGATGTTAAAGCTCCACTTTGTCACCAATAGTTGGCCAGACATTGCAAAGAAATTACAAAAGACAGAAAATTGGATAAATTGTCCCATAGAGGAACTTTTAAGAGGCCCAAAAGGTATGTGTACAGAGGAATGAGGAAAGGCAAAAGCAAAAAGCAAAAATGATGCTGTTTATCCTCCAACAGGGAACTGTTCAACAGGGAGCCCAGGGAAATAGAATGTGTAAACCTTCTGAGTACCTGCCTGCCAAACTATACAGGAGGCAAAGGGATGAAACCTGAGTCAGGGAACAGGGAGGGGGAGAAGGGAAAACAGATGTCTCAGTTGTGGAAAGCCAAGACATTTTAAGAGGGAAAAGAAAGGCCTTTCACTCATGACATTTGAAGAAGAAGAGCGGGGTCAGGGGCTCTACATCTTCCATCTCTCCCACCAGGAGCCCTTCATAAATCTAACGGTGGGACCCAAATCGGAGGTAGTCACTTTATTAGAAGATTCGAAAGCGGGTTGCTTCAAGACCTCACTGTCTCAGGAGTTAAAGGGGAAGGATTCTGGGCAACAGCTCTAGAGGAAACCAAAGTCAAATAGAAGAATAAGTCGGTCACTGCTAAGTTCTTGTTCATTCCCGAAGCAGGAACTAATTGATGAGGAATGGATTTAATTGAAGGCATAGGCCTCTATGTTAATCAGGAAAAACTCCTTCCTTCCTTAAACCTTCTTACCACTTTGGAAGAAAGCTGCATCCATCCCGATGTATGGTCGAAGGAAGGAAATTGAGGAAAGCTATGGGTTCCTCCAATCCACGTCAAATTAAAAACTTCCAGGGAAGTAGTCAAAAGAAAACAATACCCTCTTCCCTTGGAAGCCAGGATAGGTTTAAAACCTATAATTGAAAGCTTTGGGCTGGGTTTGGTGGTTCACGTCTGTAATCCCAGCCCTTTGGGAGGCTGAGACAGGCGGATCGTGAGGTCAGGAGATCGAGACCATCCTGGCCAACATGGTGAAAAATCCCGTCTCTACTAAAATAATACAAAAATTAGCTGGCTGTGGTGGCACATGTTTGTAATCCCAGCTACTTGGGAGGCTGAGGCAGGAGAATCGCTTGAACCCAGGAGGCAGAGATTGCAGTGAGCCTAGATCGCGCCACTGCACTCCAGCCTGGCGACAGGACAAGACTCCATCTCAAAAAATAAAAAAAAGTAAGCCTTGTCCACGACGGCCTCCTTGAACCCTGTATGTCCTCTTACAACACCCCGATATTGCCTTTAAGGAAGGCAGATGAGTCATACCAGCTAGTGCAAGACCTCCAGGCTATTAACCAAATAGTTCAGGCTACCCGCCCTGTTGTTCCCAGTCCTTACACCATTGTCAATAGAATCCCACACAACCACCAGCGGTTCACGGTGATAGATTTAAAAGATGCCTTTTGGGTTGCCCTTTAGCAGAGGACAGCCGGGACATGTTTGCCTTTGAGTAGGAGGACCCTCACCTGGGTTGAAAACAGTACCAATGGACAGTCGTGCCCCAAGGTTTTACAGAGTTCCCCAAATCAACTTCGTCAAATTTTATTTTATTTTATTTATTTATTTATTTTTTTTTTTTGAGACGGAGTTTCGCTCTTGTTACCCAGGCTGGAGTGCAATGGCCCGATCTCGGCTCACCGCAACCTCCGCCTCCTGGGTTCAGGCAATTCTCCTGCCTCAGCCTCCTGTGTAGCTGGGACTACAGGCACGCACCACCATGCCCAGCTCATTTTTTGTAGTTTTAGTAGAGACGGGGTTTCACCATGTTGACCAGGATGGTCTTGATCTCTTGACCTCGTGATCCACCCGCCTCGGCCTCCCAAAGTGCTGGGATTACAGGCTTGAGCCACCGCGCCCGGCCAACTTCGTCAAATTTTGAAACAAGTCCTAGAGAACTTCTGCGTGCCTTCATCCATGTGCCTACTCTAATACATAGGCGTCCTGCTCATTTCAGGAGATGACGAGCTTCAAGTCACAGCAATTTCAGTTAACTTACTAAATTTCCTGAGGGAACAAGGGTTGTGGGTCTCAAAGAACAAACTCCAGTTCCTAGAACCTGAGGTAAAATAGGACACAGCCTGGTGCAGTGGCTCACGCCTGTAATTCCAGCACTTTGGGAGGCCGAGGCAGGCAGATCATGAGGTCAGGAGATCAAGACCATCCTGCCCCAACATGGTGAAACCCCATCTCTACTAAAAATACGAAAATTAGCTGGGCATGGTGGCACGTGCCTGTAATCACAGCTACTCAGGAGGCTGAGGCAGGAGAATCGCTTGAAACAGGGAGTTGGAGGTTGCAGTGAGCCGAGATTGCGCCACTGCACCGCACTCCAGCCTGGGCAACAGAGACAATGTCTCAAAAAAAAAAACCAAAAAAACTAGAAAGCCTAATTAGTCAAGGTGAACAAAAGATAGGACCAGAACGGATAGAAAGTATCGTATCTTTGCCTTCCCCAAAACAAAGCAGGAACTTAGGAAATTCTTAGGAGTGGTTGGATACTGTCATCTGCACTTCATCTTAGCCAAAAGGCCAAGAAGCGATTGTCATCTGTGGATTGACTTTTATGCCTTAAAAACAAAGCTCGTGTATCAGAAACTCACTCAGGAAGGCCCATACTCCCTCCTCTGGACCCCATCAGAAATCCAACAGGTAGAAGAATTAAAACACCTACTTGTAACTGCCCCTGTTCTGGCCTTGCCCTCAGAGCAGCCATTCCACCCTTTTGTTAATGTAAGCAAAGGAGTGGCCTTAGGGGTCCTCACCCAAAAACACGGAGGCCACCAGCAGCCCATAGCCTTCCTGTCAGAGATTCTTGACCCAGTAACCCGTGGATGGCCCGCATGTGTCCAATCCGTAGCAGCAACTGCCTTGCTAACAGAAGAAAGCAGGAGCGTAACCTTTGGGGGAAACCTCGTCGTAAATGTCCCTCACCCAGTCACAACCATTCTTAATCAGAAGGCAAGGAGATGGCTCACTGACTCAAGAATTTTAAAATATGAAGCTATCAGCTGGGCGTAGTGGCTCCTGCCTGTAATCCCAGCACTTTGGGAGGCTGAGGTGGGCGGATCACGAGGTCAAGGGTTCGAGACCAGCCTGACCAACATGGTGAAACCCTGTCTCTATTTAAAAATACAAAAATTAGCCAGGCGTGGTGGCATGCACCTGTAATCCCAGCTACTTGGGAGGCTGAGGCAGGAGAATTGCTTTAACCTGGGAGGCAGAGGTTGCAGTGAACCAAGAGCGCTCCATTGCACTCCAGCCTGGGCGACAGAGCGAGACTCTGCCTCAAAATATATATATATGAAGCTATCTTATTAGAGGGGAATAACCTAACACTAACCACTGACAATTCACTCAGCCCTGCTGCTTTCCTGTTGGGAAATCCAAACCAGGAAGAACCTGAGCATCAATGCGTAGATCTAATCAGTTAAACTAGAGTCAGACTGGGTCTAAGCGAAACTCCCTTCCAAACGGGGCACCACCTCTTTATAGACAGCTCCTCCCGGGTCATTGAAGGAAAAAGGTGCACAGGGTACTCCGTAGTTAATGGGGAAACCCTCATAGAGGTGGAGTCAGGAAGAATGCCAAATAACTGGTCTGCCCAAACATGTGAACTCCGCATTAAACCAAGCCTTAAAATCCCTGCAGAATCAGGAAGGAACTGTTTACACAGACTCTAAGTATGCCTTCGGAATAGTCCATACCTTTGGAAAGATCTGGACTGAATGAGGCCTCGTTAAAAGTAAGGGCAAAGATTTGGTCCACAAGGAATTAACCGCAAGATTGCGGTTGTCCGTGTCCCAAGACACCAAAAAACCCATCTTTTGAAAGCCGGGGAAATAACCTCACAGATGAAGTAGCTAAGCAAGCTGCCTCTTCCCAAGAGGCACCATTTTCCATCTCACCCCTGCTCTTCCCCCTCCAGCTGCGATCCCCATCTTCTCTCGAGCAGACCAAGAGAAACTAAAGAAAACAGGAGTTATGGAAAGCCCAGAGGGAAGTGGGTGCCAGCAGATGGGAGGGAAATGTTCTCTAAATCCTTCATGAGGGAGGTATTGTCACGACTTCATCAAGGAACTCACTGGGGTCCTCAAGCTCTGTGCGATGCAGCCCTGAGTCTATGGGTGTGGAGATATAGACCCTTACCAGGCAAGTGGCGGATGGTTGCCCCGTGTGCAGAAAATCTAATAAGCCCTAAAGAAACAACCTCACAGGGGAAGAAACCCAGGGTTCAGGCCGTTCCAAAGCGTCCCAAGTGACTGCACTGAAACGCCCCCAGTAGGCTGTCTCAAGTATTTGCTAGTAATAGTGGACCATCTCACCCACTGGGTGGAAGCCATACTTCCCAAGCACGACAGCCAGTAATGTAGTCAAAACTCCGTTGGAACATAATATACCCAGGTTTGGACTAATAGAGCACATTGATTCGGACAATGGGACCCATATCACTGCACACATCATTAACGGGCGGACCCAAGCACTAGGAATAAAATGGGAATATCACACTCCCTGGTACCTGCCCTCATCAGGGACGGTAAACAGAATGAATCAAACTCTAAAAAATCACCTAGCCAGGCTGGGTGGGCCCAGTGGCTCACGCCTGTAATCCCAGCACTTCGGGAGGCCAAGGCGGGCAGATCACGAGGTCAAGAGTTCGAGACCATCCTGGCCAACATGGGGAAACCCTGTCTCTACTAAAAATACAAAAAATTACCTGGGTGTAGTGGCACTTGCCTGTAGTCCCAGTTACTTGGGAGGCTGAGGCAGGAGAATCACTCAAACTGGGAGGTGGAGGTTGCAGTGAGCCGAGACCACGTCACTGCACTCCAGCCTAGCGACAGTGAGACACCATCTCAAAAAGAAAATCATCTAGCCAGATTAGTCTTGGAAACCCAGTTACCATGGGCAAAATGCCTTCCCATTGCCTCACTAAGAATCTGAACTGCCCCTCAAAAAGATCTTGGCCTGTCCCCTTATGAAATGCTCTACGGGCTGTCTGATCTAAATTCCACTACTGACCTTCCTACATTTGAAACAAAAGATCAGTTTCTCAAAAGCTAAATATGTGGTTTGTCTCCTAACCTTTCCGCTCTCGGGACTCAAAGCCTCCTAGCGCAAACTCCACTTCGAATTCCCAGTGCACCAGCACCAGCTTGGAGATCACGTCCTTATCAAAAGTTGGAAAGAGGGCAAGCAGGAAGCAACCTGGGAGGGGCCTTACATAGTCTCCTGACCACTGAAACAGCAATCCAAACAGCTGAGAAAGGATAGGCCCACCCCTCGGCCAAGTGCAGTGGCTGACGCCTGTAATCTCAGCATTTTGGGAGGCTGAGGCGGGTGGATCATGAGGTCAAGGGATCAAGACTATCCTGGCCAACATGGTGAAACCCCATCTCTTCCAAAACAAAATTTAGGTGGGTGTGGTGGCACGTGCCTGTAGTCCCAGCTACTCAGGAGGCTGAGGCAGGAGAATGGCTTGAACCCAGGAGGCGAGGTTGCGGTGAGCTGAGATTGCGCCACTGCACTCCAGCCTGGCAACAGAGCGAAACTCCACCCCTCGAATTCCCAACACCAGCCTTGAGATCACATTCTTATCAAAAGTTGGAAAGAGGGAAAACTCGAACCAACCTGGGAGGGACCTTACCTAGTACCCCTAACGACTGAAACAACAATTCAAACAGCCGAAAAAGGTTGGACCCACCCCTCGGCCAGGAGCGACACTCCCTCTCTTAAAAAAATAATAAGCTGCACCGCGCTGTGGCGCACGCCTGTAATCCCAGCACTTTGGGAGACCAAGGTGTGCAGATTGCCTGAGCTCAGGAGTTTGAGGCCAGGCTGGGCAACACAGTGAATCCCCATCTCAAATAATAAAAATAAAAATAATATAATAATAAAGGTCCCACCCCTTGCAAAGTCCTAGATTGTCACTCCAGGACCAACGGCCTCCAAACTGACATATTCAAAGGGGTTTAATCTTTTTCTTCCTTTAGCTACTCAAGGACATCTTATCGATGTAATCCGATCACCCCCCCACAAACAATTACATTAGACGCCTGTCTTGTCATGCCCTGTGGGGATCTCCAAAGTCAGAGACAGCTAGCCTCTTCAGAGAAGTACCTTTGTCCCTCCAGGATAAATGACACTGCCCACAAAACTGACTCTTGCACTGAATGGGCATGAACCTGGCATTGGTGGTTTTGCTGTACTTGGGGAGATGTTATATAGACTGCCAAGTATCAGGGCTAGACCACCTCAGAGGGGTGTACCACCCTAAAACCCTACTCCACTTCGCCAAAGGGACCACCCCCGCCAACTGCCAGTCTCACCATTGCAACCGGTACTTACCTCTGTCAATACCCCGCCCTACACCCACTTTAGAGCACTTTTGCAGCCCAGGAGCGGATGTCACTGGAGAGGACCCTATAGGCTTCTTTGAAGTGCGCTTTGTTCCTCTTCCTCCATCTTCCACTGTTATCCTCTCCGCAAACCCACAAAATCAAACCATTTCTCGCTTCGTGTCCAGTGACAACCAAACTAGCTAGTAGAAGTCAAGGACTTGAAGCAAACCCTAGCCACAGAAACTGGGTATCCAGATGTAAATACAGCCAGGCGCAGTGGCTCGTGCCTGTCATCCACTTTGGGAGGCCAAGGTGGGCAGGTCACCTGAGGTCAGGAGTTTGAGACCAGCCTGGCCAACATGGTGAAACTCCATCTCTACTAAAAATACAAAATTAGCTAGGCATGGTGATGGGCACCTGTAGTCCCAGCTACTTGGGAGGCTGAGGCAGAGAATCACTTGAACCCGGGAGGCAGAGGCTGCAGTGAGCTGAGATGTCGCCATTGCACTTTAGCCTGGGCAACAGAGTGAGACTCCCTCTCAAAAAAAAAAAAAAATTATATATATAAATGCCTGGCTGGAATGGATTAAATATTCCATTTACACCCTAAATAAAAGCCATTGTTACGCTTGTGCAGCAAAGAAACCCAAATTGCTCCTTTCCCACTTGGATGGGCCAACCACCCAGGCATGGGCTGATCGGTAGCTACCTTCCTGCACCCCACAGCCTGGGGAAACAAGACTTGCGCCACTCTTCACTATTTTCCGCAAAGGTCAGGAGCTCTATGGGACAGCCCCCAAGGGCTGTTTTACTTCCAGCTCTCCATGCCAGTTTTACCTCAGGTCTCTCATGGCAAGGGGAAATTTTGACATTTCTTGGAAACCTGATGGGATGTAGTGGGCCTAAACTTTTTCAAGAGCTAACCAATCAGTCGGCCCTAGTCCATCCCTGAGTGGATGCATGGTGGTATCATGGGGAACCAATATTGGATACACTGCCAGGCGACTGGAGTGGCACTTGCGCTCAGATCCAATTGGCCATCCATTTCACCCTGGCATTTCATCAGCCAGACAGGGAGCCATTAACCTGAAGAAAAAGAGAAGCCCCTCATGGGTCCTTTGACCCCCGTGTTTACATAGACAACATTGGAGTCCCACGGCTGTACCAAATGAAGTCAAAGCTTGAAACCAAATAGCCTTTGAGTTCCAGTCTATCTTATTCTGGTGGTCCACTATAAACAAAAATGTAGACTGGACAAATTATATATACTACAATCAGCGATTTGTCAATGATACCAGAGATGCTATCAAAGGAATAGCTGAACAATTAGGCACTACCAACCAGATGGCCTGGGAAAATAGAATAGCCCTTGACATGATGTTAGCCGGAAAAGGGGGAGTCTGTATCATGATTAGGGCCCAATGTTGTACTTTTTTTTTTTTGAGACGGAGTTTCACTCATGTTACCCAGGCTGGAGTGCAATGGCGCGATCTCGGCTCACCGCAACCTCCGCCTCCTGGGTTCAGGCAATTCTCCTGCCTCAGCCTCCTGAGTAGTTGGGATTACAGGCACGCACCACCATGCCCAGCTAATTATTTGTATTTTTATTAGAGACGGGGTTTCACCGTGTTGACCAGGATGGTCTCGATCTCTTGACCTCGTGATCCACCTGCCTCGGCCTCCCAAAGTGCTGGGATTACAGGCTTGAGCCACCGCGCCCGGCCGAATGTTGTACTTTTAACCCTAATGAAACAGCCCCCAACAGGACAATCACAGAAGCTTTACAAGGCCTTACCACCCTAGCAAATGAATTAGCCGAAAACTCTGGAAAAGACGACCCCTTTACGGGCCTGATGGAAAGGTGGTTTGGAAAATGGGCGGGACTTGTGACCTCAATCTTTACCTCCCTTGCCATTGTTACAGGTGTTCTCATCCTTGTGGGCGGCTGTATCATACCTTGTATTCGTGGGTTAACCCAAAGGCTGATAGAAGCAGCTCTCACAAAAACCTTCCCCACCTCCCCAGCTAGGTAAGCTCTTGCTCCTAGATAATCAAGAACAACAAAGCCAAATCCTGTTGAAGAAATTTGAAGAGGAAGAAATACATAAAACAGAAGAAGGGAAATTGTTGGGACAACTAAAGTCCTCTTAAAGACTCAACTTTTTCGGTCCTAAGTTGTAAATCAATCCTACCTCCCCCCCCCACTTCTGTTTTTCGCAAATCGCGCGTGTACCCTGTTTGGCAGAGTTAATCGGGATCAGCTTAGATGGTGAGGTCGGACCCCAGCCAACGGGAAGGACACAGGAACAGGAAGTGCGTTAGGGTTAGAATCGTCCCTCCTCTGGTCGGTGTGCTCTTGCGATTGTAACGCGCAAGCAGCACCCCTCTGCGGAAGTAAAGGTGCCTTGCTGATAAGTTTTCTGTCTAAGTGCGAGTTTCTTTTGGCTACGCCACCGAGCACTGGTTTCAGATATAAGCAAGGGGAGAGATTCCATCAGGGCAGAGGGCTAAAGAAGAGTGTATGCGGCCCAGTGGGTAATGTATGGAGGGCTCCCCCAACTCGTCTGCTCCAGGAAAAGGGGGTTCAAGAAGGAAGGGAGTTCTTGCCCCTCTCCCGCCTGGGTGTCCCTCCACCAGCCTCAGGGGCGTCGCGCCCCCTTCTCACCCCGTCACCCCCGGGTGTGCCGCCTTCCTTCGGTCTCACACCCCTCTCCTGTCGGCAAAGGCAGGAGCGGGGAGGGCGGGCCCTCTCACACCGGAACTGGAGTCGTGCGGCATCCGGTTTCCGCAGGGAAGGCTTAGGCGGCCGTCCCAGCTTCCTGTTCCGATCCCGTTCTTCGGTTTGCCAGGCCGTGGTCGCTATGGAGGAGCCCGAGATGCAGCTGAAGGGGAAGAAAGGTGGTGTGGTCCTCGGGGTGGGACAGGGGATCCGGAATCTCGCGGCGGGGCGGCCTGAAAAAGGCCGGGCGCAGAGGAACCGGGCGAGGAGCAGTGATTGAATTGCCGTCAATTCTATCAGCCGGGCCGCTGACTAGTTTTGAAACCTGCAGAAAGGCTCGGTGTCTAGTTTTGTCATTTGTAAAATGAGGGGTATAATTACCCGTCCCTCCAGGATTGTTTCAAGAATTCGGTTCATGAGGCTGGGAGTGGTGGATCAAGCCTGTAATCCCAGCACTTTGGGAGGCCTAGGCGGGAGGATCGCTTGAGGAATTCTAGGGCTCAAGTGACTCCTGACTCGAGGTCAGGAGTTCGAGACCCCCAAAAAAGACAAAAATTAGCCGGACATGGTGGCGCACGCCTGTGGTACCAGCTACTCCAGTGGCTGAGGTGGGAGGATCGCTTGAGCCCGGGAGGTCGGGGCTGCAGTGCAGTGGGCCATGATCATGCCACTGCACCCCAGGCTGGGCGATAGAGTAAGACCCTGTCTAGAAAAAAAAAAAAAAAATCAACCTGATATTTGTAATGCACTGGAGGAATCCCCGGGGCGTGGTAATCTGTATGCTTGTCTTATTTTTCTTTTCTTTCTTTTTTATTTTGAAACAAGGTATCACTCTGTCGCCAGGCTGGGGTGCAGTGGTGCGATCATGGCTCACTGTAGCCTCGACCTCTCTGGCTCAGGCGATCCTCCTGTCTCAGCCTCTCGAGTAGCTGGGATTACAAGTGCACACCACCACGTTGGGCTAATTCTTTAATTATTATTATTATTTTTTGAGATGGAGTCGCTCTCTGTCACCCAGGCTGGAGTGCTGTGGTGTGATCTTGGCTCTCTTCAACCTCAGCCTCCTGAGTAGCTGGGATTACAGGCACACACCACCATGTCCAGCTAATTTTTCTGTGTTTTTAGTAGGGATGGGGTTTCACCATGTTGCCCAGGCTGGTCTCGAACTCCTAACCTCGAGTGATCCGCCTACCTTGGCCTCCCAAAGTGGTGGGATTACAGGTGTGAGCCACTTCGCCCAGCTAATCCCCTATGCTTTAAATCACCTCTAGATTACTCACACCTACAGTACATAATACAGGGCCTATACATCACTTCATTCACATGGATTCAAAGAAGTGCTTAGTTTAGAGCAAATTCAAGTTTTTATTTATTTATTTATTTATTTATTTTTTAGAGACAGGGTTTCACCATGTTGGTCAGGTTGGCCTCGAACTCCCAACCTCAGGTGATCCGCCTGTCTCAGCCTCCCAAAGTGCTGGGATTACAAGCAGGAACCACCACGCCTGGCCTCAAGTTTTTATTTTTTTATTTTATTTTTTATTTTTTTTGAGATGGAGTCTCGCTCTGTCACCCAGGCTGGAGTGCAGTGATGCCATCTCGGCTCACTGCAGCCTTCACCTGTCTCCAGGTGGGACTAGCAGGTGCAGAGGCCTTGGGGTGACAGAGTGTTCAGAGCTGTGCCATAATGAGTAAAACAGCGATTGGTCACATATGGGTAATTTTTTTTTTTTTTTTTTTTGAGATAGGGTCTTGCTCTGTT